ACTGGAGGAACTGAGTAAGAAAGGCCTAGGTATTTAGATAGCAGGATTAATTATCTTAGATTGCTTTACATACTGCAGCAATCAAGATTTCAGCTTAGTCTTGTGAAGGAAATAATGGATGCTGAAAAAAAAATTTACTTTCTAACCCTGTAAGTATTGCTAACATCTTCTAGCAGCTCTCTGGAGTCAAAGGGTTAATACTCTTTGCTCTCTGGCTTACTGCCCCATCATTCAGACACTCAGTTTTACATACATTCTAAACAGATTTACTTATTGCATAGAAATTACAACTTTCTTTCCTAAAAAAAAAAAAATCTCTGTGAAATTGACAACTTTTTCATATTTTACAAATAAACACTGAGGAATGAACTCAGATACAGCCATGACACAATGCTCTGAAATCTTACTCCAATTATACCATGAAAATAACAACTTTAGATACAACATTCAACAAACTAGGGAAAAACCAAAATGAATAGTTTTAAATTCAATTATTTGCAGCAGATATGCTGAAAAGGAAGGAAAGAAGGCAATAACCAGTATGAAATCTCATTTTAAGGACAGAAATACTTCCAGTGACACATGAGAGGCAATGGAAAGAAAGGTAAGCAAGGGAGCTATAGACAGACTGGCTTTTCCAGGACCAAAGAACCTTTATGTTCTCACAGTAACACTGGTCTGGGACTCAATCCCACCCCAATCCCTTTAGGATTTGAGCCTGGAATAATTTTTCCATAAAGTCATGGCAGTATCAATTTAAAAAACACTAGGTAACAGAAGTTGCATTTAATGCCTTCTACAAAAGGATTTAAGATCACAAGAAAAATACTTACAAGGGTCAGACCCCTCTTTCCAAAGTTTTCAGTTCATGAGTTCTTGTAAGCATCCTCAAATTGTCTCAAGATCCTCTATTGCAAGACTGCAGACAAAATCTCAACTGCCATTCCCATCTTCAGCAGTCTCATTTTCTTGACATTCTTTATCCAACATAAAATGATGAAGTGCTACGATACTGTTCATTTTCTGCCCTTGACTTCCTACTAACTCCTCATTTCCTCTGGATCCACCACTGCTAGGGATCTCAAAGTGATCTCACACAGCCATCCCACTCAGCAATGGCCTGACATGCATCCTTATGATGATGGTGCTTATCTTGAGCTTTCATCTCTCTGGATGGTGAATAAATCCAGGTCCTCTCTGTAGTTCTAGATACACACAAGGCCCAGTGAATTACTGAAATGCAGATGTAGTACTGAAATGTCAGATGTAGTGAGGTGTAGCTGACTCCATGAGCAAGAAACCACAAGCAACTGTGCAACACAACTTAGTATTTGGAAATAGTGTAGAGCAACAGGAACTCAGAGCAACAGGAAGGTGTATAAAGACAGCAACACGTGTGGCAACTTCAAATAGGACTTGCAATCCAGTGCAAAATGTCCTTGTTCACATTACATCAGCAAACAGTGAGCAATCACATGGTGTATCTTATCTCATTGAACAAAAATGCCTCCGGAATTTCATCTACATGAACGAGATTCATGTTGACACAAACCAATATGCTACAGACACATAGGAACTGCCCCGACAGTAATTAGCATTTGTTCTACCAACACTTGTTTTAACCGTGCTATGTCATGCAGAAGGTTAGACGTAAGCACGAAATTCTCCCATACCACTAATGTTTGAAATTCCAAAGGAGCTGTTATATTATGGTAGAATAAGCTTACTGATCTCTAGACTTTTTCACGGAGGGAAAAAAAAAAAAAAAGCCAAGATTGACATACACAATCACCTGGGATGAGAAAATTAAGGTTTAAATTCCTCCTAATTTAGACCAGAAATCCTAATCTGATTCTACTGTATTCCAGCAGGGGCCAGTACTTACCCCGCTCCGAAATTCCCTTTAATTGCAGTTGTGCCTCTCCTGGCTTGGTTTGACAAACAAGTTTTATCTTGTTGAAAATGTTACAGGATTCTAGTTTTATTGCAGAGTGGGGAACTAAGGAGATATTAACAAATTGCACTTTCATCATACCTACGCTGCTGGAAAGGTTGAAAGATCAACATTTAACATATTCAATTCCTAATTCAGTCAACCTATTTGAAATGTGTGAACCTATGTGCTAAAATTAGGTAATTCAATCCATACTAAACCATCAAAACATCTATGACTTCGGTCCTTACAAAAAGACCCACAAACCTACTTTTTCATTCAAATCTGAATGCCAAAAAAAGTTATTAGGCAAGTAAATGATCACTTCCAGACATGACATTTCTATTTTAAAAAGTCTGTTAACAACATTTTTCCAAACAGTTTTTTGATGTCTTTAGCAGAGCAGAAAGACTCCCATCAGTAGAATAAATATGTCACACAGTTGTTATGCAAGATTAAGCATTAAGGGCTCTCTCAGTTGTCACAAAGCTAAAATAAACATGGCTTTCCTCCCACCAAACTATTTGACAAAACTCCAACTGCGTGTGAACATTATCAGGACACACCATCAGATGATCTGATCAGCACAGATTCATTATTAATGGCATTGTTAATAATAATAATTTAGTATTACTCTTTAATAATCCTTTAGGACTTCTTTTTCTTAATTATAGAAAGAACCTAAAATAAAAGGCATTATCACTTTAAATGGCATGAATCAGGAACCAAGTGACCCAGAACTGCAACACAACGGTTTCAGTTAAAAGAAAGCAATAAATAAAGCAATTTAAGGTACAAACCAATATTCACTTAAAATCAGAGCAGGAAATGAGATCTAAACGGCAAATATAGAGTATTACTACAGTAAATATTAAATACACTAATAGCTTAAACATTTTTGCTCGGAAACTCCTGCAATTCTGCATTTACTTCTATCTAAATTACTTAAGCACAATCCATTGTCTGAGCTTTGAATCCTTCTATAATTTTACTACAAATCTCCATATTTTTGAGGTACTTCATAAATTTAATGTTCCTATACCCAGCTTAAGTAAAATGCACACCCTTATTCATTCTAACTTGAATGCATCACTCAGTGTAACTTCAATATATTAGAAAGACTCAAATCAAAAATCTATTTAAAGACAAATCTTAGAAAGTTTTTGTATGTCACTGGGGGAAATAACTGCTCTTAGCACTCAGCCAGGAACACTACTATATTGAAGAAAATACCTTCATTTTGGTATTTTTCTTGTTATATAGATATTAGCTTTTTAAATGAGCTTTTAGAATACAGGTTTCTGAGTTTCATACATTTTCAGTAGCAAAATATCTTTTACGGTTGTTAGGTTGAGTTTTGTCTTTCTTCACTGGACACTCACTGGAACAGCTTTGCTCTCCAATACAAAAATACTGACAAACTGGCACATACATTAACAATCACCAGGGTCCCAAATCTAAGTTGGTGGTAAAGACAAACTTATTTACCATATTAATTAAATGGTCTATTTAACATGGAATATCAATTCTCTAATCACATCTCATTTGAACTTCTTATTTCAATTAACAACCCTAAAGTCTACTAGAGACCCTACTGTTCTAGGATCATTAAGAACATTTTCATTATCTGTCAAACGAGGGAGTAAAAGGCAGAAACTGCAAGTACTCTCAGGAGTAGGCCTCTACCCTATTTAAGAGGTGATTAGGGAGAAAGCAGCAGTAGTTCTCATTAGTTGCTAAGCAATAAAATGTCCCTCTATGAAACAAGAAATGAACAAAGCAAGAGAGGTGCTGGCATGCAGATGAGTAAATGGATAGTCTATCATCCACACAAGGATAATCTGTCCTTCATTAAATCTAACCTGTCTGGATTAAGACACCAATGGGTATCTCACATAGAGAAGATGGGAAGAATCCACTATATACAGCCTCACTGAAGTAGCCAGACAACGCGTTGCTCGAGTTTACATGTAAGAGTTGTGTATTTTCATTGTATGTGTGCATCACAAATAGAAATACAAGGAAAACAATTTTAATTCAAACCAGATTAACATTGTCATTTTTACTGTTTCACCTTACCTTTTATATCCAGTTATACCCAAATTATTAATGAATTATTGTTAATGATAAACCATACTCTTAATGTTTATAAAGACTGATATATAAATTTAAGATATGAATGATATTCTAGTAAGAGATGAGCATTTAACCAATATTAGAGTTTACCAAATAAAAGTTTTCAAAAAGTATATTCACATATAAGGCCACAAATGCAACAGAAACACAGCTGTTTACGCTACTATTGTTAGTCATGTTGTGAGCCCCAGAAAAGCACAGCTCTTAACCAGAAAAATTTGACTAACACTGCCTTAATTTTCAGATCCTAATTGCAGGTTGCCATTCTTTCAGCCACACACCCAGTTTAATAGGTTCCCTCTACTTTCATTCCCCCACCACCAATTTAAAAGGTTTCCTTGTTTCACAGGGTTTTTTCCTTGTTTTGGTGTGGTTTTGGTTTTTTTTGTCACTGTTGGTTGATAATTTTTTTTTTTTTTTAAAACCTGCTTATTTCATCGTACAATTTAAAGTTTTCACAAAAAAACGTGATTTAGGGGAGAGAGAGAGAGAGAGAGAGAGAGAGAGAGAGAAAGGAAGAATAAAAACACCTATGAAGAAAAAAAAGCATCAGGAGTGGTGAACACTTCTTAACTAGAAATCAAGATGAAAGCAAATGCTAGAATGTGCTTCCTTCCCCTGCTTCCAGATCTGACAAACAAGGAACACTGTCTGCAACTTCTACAGAGGGTTTTGTTTGGTTGGTTTTTGTTGCGGGGGAGGTTGCTTAGAATAAAAACCTGAAAGATTCCTGAACTCCACTGACTACTTAAAGTCTGATTGCTTCTCAGTATATATTTAAATAGAACTATACAGATTTATAAATGTATTATAAAAATCATGTGTCAAATTATGCTTTGATTAGCTAATCCAAATCGTTATTCAGATTAAAATGAAGAGGCAGTTCCAAAACCAGCACCAATTCATAATTCAGTATTAAGACAAGTCTTACCTATATATTCACAAACGAAGACTACAAAAAAAGGAGTGACAAGATCATTTATGCCCTGAACATATCCACTGGCTGGATGACGTATTGCCCAGATAAACAAAATTCTTTCAAAGATCTGAAAAAGAGTTAAAGAAACTATCAGATAATTTATCAAGTGAGGAGCACATTTTAAACAAGACACTTGAAAGTTATACAAGGATGAATGTAATATCATAGAGTTACTAGTATAAAAATATGCATACAAAAGCATAAATGAACACTGGTACTCATAATTAACTTCCAGTGCTAAGTAAGTTTCTCAGTTCTTCAAAAGGAAGCATTTTCAGGGTATTAGCACATGATAAAACCAATCTAGTATATAATTCAGTTACAGCAGTTACAACAAAGTAGCACTTATTCACTGGAACTTTTCCAATAATATAAAATTCCTCTTTCCTCAAGAGACAGAAATATTAAAACATCTTCCCATGATTTTTCACCTCTTTGAAAGAAGTATTTTATCAATACAGTATTCTATTTATTCTTAACTAACAGAAAGAAGTACTTCATATAGCTTAGATTTTTTAGTAATATGCCCATAAAAAGAGATTCCTTAACAGTTAAGCTTGCTTAATACTGCAGTGTGGGGTTTTACACTTCAGAAGTATGTACACTGGTTAATAAAAAGTCTGAAAAAAAAAATAATCAAGAAATACAGAAATAAGGCAACTGCCTGCTGTATCACATAACCTCACCCCCTTAACTCCGTAAACTGTATTTCGCTTAGGATCTGCAAAAGGTCCTAAGGCCACATTGTATCTAATCATGGGAAGGACAACATGAGAAGAGTATGGAGCAGGGAAATCACTTAACGTTATCTCTGACACAATTTAGGTCTGCGACAAGCTGTATTTCCTCTCAATTATTTGCTTCTGAATGTGCTACACGTCTTTAAAATGCTGCAAATAAGCAGCAGAGTGGAAGCTGCTATGTGTTCTGCCCTTTCACTGGAAGGTCTGCCAAGAAGGCAGAATGCAGAGGCAGGTAAGCGGAGCAGAGGCAGAAGAGCCCAAACCAGAGGACTATTGTCGCTCTTAAAAACAGACCCCTAGGAGATTGCATAGTATGCTGCAACCCCAGAAGTCAATGAATGCTCAGGCTTCAAGAAAGCCCATAAAAGACCTGCCCTGAACGGCCACAGTAAGGAGAGGAAATTTAGTTTAGGAAACCTGTATTATTTCTATTCAATCTCACTTCAAGTTTTTGCTAGATTAAGAAATTCACTATTCCAGTATCAGTTAAATAAAATCTTATTTCTTTAGTTTAAAAGTCCTCTGACAGTCATTTTCAAGTAAGGGAAAGTCTAGGCATACATGACATGACTCGCATCCGGATGCTTGAGAGTCCCGTCACAGGCTTCCACATGAGCTCCCTGAAGCTGAAACACATCTGCACTTTTTGCTTTGAAAACAAGTCCCAAACATCAGCATCTACCCTTCTCCCACAGGCTTCTTTTGAGAATCAACTTTCCTTAATCTCCAGGTTTTACATCTCCCTGGCATGCTGAAAATCCACAGAACAAGAGAGACGATCAACAACAATAAATACAAAAAGATTTTATGGGCATTGAAACACAATCCCTAATGCAGCTCATGTCTGATCCATTATAGCTACAATTAAGATTCAGTTTTGGGGCAAAGATTAGGCAGAAGGAAAGAAATTTACCAAATTCTCCATAAAAGCCTCTTGTTTTCATTAGCCAAAATGTTTATTCCCTTAGCTATAAATTCTTCTTCGTGCTAGTCCTGTCACCGCATGTTTAATACGTCACTGCATATTAAACTGAAAAAAACCTCCAACCTCTGCCCATCAAGCAATAGCCAGTGGGGTTTCATCGTCTATCAACAACTGTATAAAGACCGCAAGTTCTGTCATTTAAAGCTTGCTTTTACATTTTACAAAGTTATACCTTTATGAAATTACAGTTGTTTATGTCATATTTTCACTGTTATTGGAAAACTGCAACCTATCTAGGTTAGTTAGCTAACAGCCATCCTTCCTGCTTCTGTCAGTTGCCATTTCTAGTTTCAGTAACACTAGTTTTTCAGTATGATATGTTATTATTCTGTGTTTCAATTCAAATAAAGGACATTTAACACACTACAAATACAAATAACTTTCCTGAAAACAAATATCAGATAGAGGTGACTAGAAAAACCTATTTAAATAGCAATTGCTAAATGTAGAATAGTGTTACACACTAGGCTAAATGAAAAACTCCTGAAAAAAAAAAAAATCACTAATTCAGTAAGTAACAGCTATCAAAAAATACCCATTGTAAAAACTATAACAATAGCGCTTTTCATGAAGGCATGTTTCAAGTCAAATAACCCCCAAAATTGTACCACCAACCTTTCCTCAGAACCTGATAATATACATAGTTTGCATTGCAAATAGAGATGCCTATGGACTTCAAAGCTTTTTTTAAAATCCAAGTATGAAAACTAAGGGGGAATGGGAGTGTTTGGGTTTTTCATTTGGGTTTGTTTTGGGTTTTTTTTAATATTATTGAGCAGGCAGGATCACTCAGTGATTGGCACACCAGATTTAATACCCCAAACGCATCTAATCAAAAATTCAACAAAAACACACTGAAATAGTGCTTTCAATTTCCTACCCGTTTTCATAAAGTTTCATTTACTGTTTTGAATTGAAAAAAAATGAGCACCAAATACCTGAAAGGCAGACTGATTAAAGTTTCTATACAGCACTCATCACTGTGTTCAAATAGGACTCATTAAAAAGGTCACCTTCCCAAAAGGTTCCCTTCTTGATTTCCAAACCAGCAACAGAAACTGGAATTACTTTTCTACTATGAACCACTACACATCTCATGAGAAGTCATCACCAATCAATTATTCTGCTTTGAATTTAACTTTCATTCATGATAACAGTAAGAACTATATTCAAATACGTAAAGAGAAGAATCCATTAGCCTAAATGCAGATTGTGAATTTCTTGTGGGTTTTGCTACCTCAGAGGAACTCCAAAACCCCCAAAGCTTTAATCATAACCGCTTTTGAGAATTTGCAGTATTCTTATACCACTTTATTTCAAAAAAATGTAATAGGCTATTTCTTCAAAATTATTTCTCCAACGTGTGGAGGAGCATTTACATTAAACAAATAATTGCAAGAGCAGAAAAACAAATGAAAGCTATTTCTGCATTTAAATTCTCATACCATCTAATGAACTATCAAAAGATGTTCTGTGTGGCTCTATAACAATACTAACAGGATCTACGTGGAAGTATATTTGAAGGTCTAACTAGAAACATTAGAAAGGAGAAGTAATTGAAAGATTAAAAGAAATATTTGAAAGAGGACGATTCACACCATCTATACTATTTATGACCTATAAACTTTAGAAAGAAAAGTGGGATTCAATTACCCAACAACATAGAGCAATTTGGTTAACATATTTGTCATTAATTGATGTATATCTGCTACCACAGTAAAAGAATTTAAATAGTGTACTCAACATATAAAACTTAGAAAGAACCAAAACCAAATAAGGAACACACAAACCAGTCAAATTCACAAAAAGATAATTTCCCAAGTGAAAGACTATGATACGAACTTCCAGACCTTGAATGATTTTGACAAATACATAGAACCATGGGAACTATGCTCTGGATTACTTCAAAAACACATTATTAACAAAATATATAAAAGGCAAAAAAAAAAAAACCAAACAAAAACTCAAAGGCACGAGATGGAAGAAAAAACTGACAGATTTTATGCAGGAGATTAATGAGATGCCTTTCCTTTTACTACTCATATTTACATGTATTCTTAGATTATATTTATATATCCTCATGTTTTGGACTTTTTTAAGCCAGTTTAAGTCAAAATAGCAAGTGTTGTCAAATTAACTAATAACAATGCTGTGATATCAGATTCATTAATAAAATTATTAAAAAAAAAAATCTTTAGATATCGTTCTTACCTCTGTTACTTTGGGCTGAAGTCTTAAAACTTCAGGACTCATGCGTGGAATATCTATATGGATCTAATTAGACAGAAAGAAGAATACTGTAAAAGGAACCAACAGCACACTTTTAAACAACATAGTAGTTAAAACAAACTTGTGGTTTTACAGTATTAGTTATAATGCCATTGTATCGCTATTTTTGGAATAACATGGATTTACTGCATTTCAAAACATATAGCCAAATCCTTAAGTCCTTGTTAATCTATCAACGAAGCAAAATAAAACATATATAGAGATACATTTTGTTTTCACATTTTAGGATCCTTATATCCCATTTTGATTGTTTGCAAATTATAGTCATATTGACAATACTCATTACCTCAGGGTAATTATGAGTGAATACCTAATACTACTTCTGTAAAGGCATGTTCAGTTGACACTATCACATATACTTCTTGCTGCTAAAGATCAGGCTTGAAGATTGAAGCTGAAAGAAAGATCTCAACTTCTTCTGTCCTAAGGAAGGCTAAAGTAGGATTGCTTAGTCTATACTGAGTGACACAAACTATTCATTTTAATATAAAACTTGAAGAAAAGTTATCTGCTTATCCGGGTGGGTAAGAAAGTTTGACACGCCTATGTTTATTGCACATTATACACAGTTTCAGCTTCTTAAGCAGAAATATGGAGCCAGTAAGAAACAGTCACTGTCATACTTTCCCTGGACCATCCTCACTCATTTGAGGAAGGATCTGTACGGGAGATCAAAGATTTGAAAACCCTACTATTCTTAAACGGAAAAACATGGCAGCACTGAATAGCAGCACCACATGGCACGACTAAAGCGGACATTAAAAGAAAGCCACTATTTTGAATGTCACACCAAAATATTTCATATTTTTGCTTCTGAAATGTAGGTAAAAAAACTTACTAGAGAGCTGCCTATCAAGTAAGATTAAGAAAATAGAGAAAAACAGTAGAAAACTTCAAAAATAATCGAAGTTCTTTAGTAGATGTCCTGTAGTTAAAAGTCATTTCAATAGGTATCCTACCTGTCTATAGGTATCTTGGTGATTTTCATCATTTCTGGAATCATAGTATTGTTCAACAAATGCAAAATACTCTTTGCGTTTTCTTTTTAAAGTGCTTTCTCTTCGGTCCACATTTGCAGGAAGATATCCCTGAAAAAAAAAAAAAAACCACAGTGAAATGAAAAGGATATTACTCTTTGCTTTAAAAAAGCACTGCTGGAATTTGATTACCAGTGACAGGAAAGCTAATAAACTGATGTAGTGCCATACAGCCCTACGTGGACCTGAACAATTCTTTAGCAAATCAGTTTTCTAATCATTCCAACTGATACAAAAGTTCAGATACAAACAAGTTACTAAAATCAGCTTTTTTTTTAAGAAAAAGTTTCAAGTTTTTCCACCTTTAAAAAGCAATTTCTCATCAAGAATTCTAAGATGTTTGCCTTCGAAAAAGAAAAGAACAAATACTAAGTTCAGATAAATGTAATGTTATACGAGTTAATTAATTTCTGCATTCCTATGTGGCCATTATTGGAGCAATTTCATTAAATTTTTTAAACTAAATGAGTATTATCTCAGTTGCCTTCAAATAGGAAGGATATACAGTAGCAAATATGTTTCAATTATGGTTACACTTGTAATACAATGGAGTATTAATTCAAAAGCTTTGAAAACATTCTAGCTACTTTATTTCACTGTTTCAGATGAGAAAAAAAAATATTTTCAAGCTTTCATTTCATCTCAACAGGTTATAAAAAGTTTCACAGAAAAAGACTCAATAGCACCAGTGACTGGGCTTTTAGATGTAAGAACACTAGCTATACATTTCCTTAGTCTTTCCCAAAAGCAATTTATAAATAGTATCTTATGTTAAATAAGGTATGGACACACTAAGGAAGTCATGTGTCAGATATGCATGATACATTGTTGCATTAAGTACAAAATATATCTGAATGGCTCTTCATTGAGCTCATTCATATATATCTGAAAAACCCAATCTTCCCCCCCAAAAAATTCCATTCTTGTCTTTTTTTTGTCCAGTTTGATCCTCATTTCTGGCACCTCAACCTACTTTCCATTTAAAAAACAAGCTCAGCTTACTATTTCAGCATTTTACAAAAGGAAATATCATGAATGTTATTAAATATTCAGTTTTATATAAAATTCACTTATTAGAAACACCATTATTCATGCAACTGGCTACCAAAAACTTTCCTGAACATTCAGGAATAGTTAATGCTTTCTTGTAAGCAGCTTCATTGCAAACAATCAACACCAATATCCCGTACCACTGCAAAAAGAAAACTAGTTCATATTTTACATGGCAGTCCTGAAAAAATACTTTGCATGATTATAAAGACAGATGGCTTTGAAACAGATCTGGACATCCAAGACAATATAAGAAAAATCTAATAAGCATATTATTCACTAATCCAGTCAAATTAAAATATTTCTTGGAAATATTATAAAAGCTCTCCTTCCACAGTAACTGCTATCACCATACTAATGGTAATTCGTAATACAGAGAAATCAAACTCATGCCAGATTTAAGATTCTTTAAAAAAAAAAAATCCTTGTAACATCAATAAAATCCTATACTAGAAGTGCAGCACATATTTGCACTTATACAGTGAGCCATAGCCACTGCAAGTAACTGTGCATTTAACTACAAAAACAACTTATTCAGTCCTAAACACTAAAAGCAAAAATGGAAGGGGTGAACCTAACATGCTAAAATTGCTAAATATACAATAAAATTAAATGCTCTAAGAATAGGGATATAGGTTCCATTACTCTCCTGCAACAATCCAACATCATATCCCATTTCTATAACTTCTGTTTTGTTCAATGTTTAGAGAAAAATAAAAAAATATTAAACATCAATAGATTTTTTGAAAATATCTCCATATTAAAACGATTTAAAACGTTATTCCCGTGTATTTTAATTACTTAAAGATGACAACAGAGTAAGTACAAACTATATTACATTTCAGCTAAGAGGTATTTGCTTTGGCAAAACCGCATCTTTTAAGATGTACTGACTTGTGTCTGGTTCCAGGTACTTTAAATTGCACCAGCTTAACTTTTGCCTCAAGACTCAGTCTGACATTTAATATCCTGTCCCAGTGTTTTGTATTAAGTTAAATATTGAATTCGGCCTCCCATTTATTCTCAACAGTTGGGTTTTTTTCCTGAAGGATATCTTAGTTCCATTAGAAAAGAATTCATTTGTGAGATCAAATGTGATTGTTTGAAGGATACCAATATTTTCTCAGCAAGTCTTTTTGCCATTATTCAGTTTCAAAGACTGAAGTAATCTTTCAATTGGACATGTCTTGTTTCCTGTTCACTTTACAAATTAGGTTTTATTTTTAAAAGTTGGAAAGGCTTGAAAATATCACCAGGGAATAAATTGGTAGAGAGTTTAATCCATTTATTCATTAATTTCCTCCAAAGGCTTTTGCAACCACATCTTTAGTTTTGTTATTCAAAACAGAAGTGAGCCTGAATTGTTCTGCTTGCTGTTTAGGTACAGTATACCTAACATTTTTGCTAGATTTTAAAAGTAAATCATGTCACTTTTTATACAGTTACCAGTACGTATGCATAACATCAACAGCCCGATTGTATTTTTTCATATGCTTTCCCTTTGACAAACTGTATTCATCAAACATGTTAACATTATTAACCTTCTGCCTATGTAATAAATATCTCAACTGTTCAATTTTTTAAATCATATTTTTAAAATTCCAACCTCACTGCTCAATTTACAAACAAGACAATCAACTTCTGCCTCAGATACTACCAATTTTACTCAGTTCCCCAAATAAGTCATAGTTTGGGCTTTTTAAGTAAGACTTCTGAAGAATTCCAAAACAAACACACTCAGCCTTAATTTAGCTCTGAATTATGCTTTGATTTCTTTGGTTTTCTTATATTTTTTTGGTTTTGCAACCGATCTTTAACCAAAGCAGTTTTGCTTTTGTACACTTATGTCCCCAATAGCCCCCAGAGCAGCTTATAGCACAAAAGATTATCACTTTACACCCTCTTACCTGGGACGTGCATTAGCAGCAGGTAACATGTTTAAACAACTAATGTGACTTAAAAATTAATTACCATTAGAAAAAAGCATCATGGAGTTTATAACCACAAATACTCAGAGCATTTTTCCTTTTCCACTTCAGAAAGAAAATGAAAGAAGCTACTGCCTTATAGTATAGAAAAGCAACGTTTACTAAATAACTCATCTTCAGGTTCCCAAAAAGTATTAATAGAGAATCACTTTGTAGGTAAGAAATCATGGTAAGAATTACATCAGAAAAGCTGAGAACTTTCAAAATATTGCTATTTGGTGGCAAAAAAAAAAAAAAAAAACAAAAAAACCAACAAACCACACCACCAATAACAGACACCACAATTTTGGAAGTCTTACTCAAAAAAAAAAAAAATCCACTTAATTCTTAAAGTAAAATCAAAATAACCTGAAGAGAGTTTGTTCACAGAGGTATGGCAAGACAGCCGAAGATAAGAATTGAACTCAAATGGATCCTGAACTGGAGTGGTTAAAACAACAGAACAAGGGAGCTCGACACAGGAATTTCTCTAGACTAGGAATCTAAGGAATGCTAAACTAAAATCAACTTACAGAATGAAGTTGAAGTTCACAGAAAGTTGATGCTCTTACTTAAAAGTGAGAAAGTGACTGCAGTTAACTTTCACATCATTCCAAGTCTCTAAACCTGTCAGTCGCCCGATTCAGAACTTAACCTATCCTTATGCTTTAGTTTACTGTGTTTCAAAGTCAATTTTGAGTTAGCCGTAGTTTTTTCTTGTTTTAAAAACAGGCATCCTAAACTTCAAGAGAAAAAAAAGGAATGCTTTTTTTATTATCAAAATCTCAAACAACAGCTTTAGAAACAGAACTAAAATAAATCGTGCACTGCATGTTCAATTTCAATTACAGCAGGGTATTTGAATATCCACCATTAAAAAGCTGCATCTGCATCTAGCTTTAGAAGGAACTAAGCTGCAAATTTAGTAGAACTCATCAGCAAGAGAGACTCTTTCAGTCACTGGAAATCAGTCTCAGTCTGAGTCTGAAGTAAATACTTCGCATTCCCCGCTGAATTATTCTATAAAAAGCAAAGCTATTTAAGTCTACTCTTTGAAAAATTCAATAGTGTTAAACTGTTGTGTGTATAACTCAGAATTTTAAACAGTTCTTAAATGCATGAAGATTTGCTGATAAAGTGTCTTTCACAGCCTCTGGAGAGCAGACAGCATGAGATTTTTGCTTCTTTTTAATACAAACATCTTAACAAGTTCTTCTCCCAACCACAAGCAGACAAACAACAGCTAAAATACACAACCATTTGCCACTGCAAGTATTATAGCTGAAAAGTTTGACATGAAAAATACTCCTATGAGGCATACATTGTATTTTTGCAGAAAAACCTTTTTAAATATAGTGCAAACACAGAGACTAAAAAAAAACCCCAATTCTGTAACACCAAACCCAGTGAATCCCAGATTACCACAAGCTTGTCTCTGATGCCCAACTGAAACACCTCCATGTGCTGTTCCATGGTATTTTAGTCAACCTACTCCCAAGCTATTGCCGTTGCAAAATCCTCTGACCGCCAGGCAAAGTTCAGAGACCTCAGCCAGCCAAAAACTCACACCACAAAAAAGTGATTAGCTTTTGAATTAGCTTGTCTCCCTGAACTGACTCACAGGTCTGACATCAGGAGAGCCAATGCCACCAGGTAACTGACCACAGCAGTTCAGATTTGTTAGTCTTAAACCACTATAGAAAAATAGGCAAAAAATCCATAAGATCCTATCACAGCTTTTCTTCAGTACAGTGTTAATCCTTTCTTGTAGTTATTTTAATGTGAAGTCAGAATGAAGTCTTTCATAGGACACCAATAGGCTTCATTTCCTCTACTGTGTGCCTATTTTCAAGAAAACTGTAAGAATGTACTCGTCTTTGAACTCTCCACCATTCCATCAAAATTGGCTGAAAGAGGCCACTGTTATCACATAAGCCTTTCTTTCATAGAAAGCTAGGCTGAGAAATAAAGATACACAGCTGACATGATTTACTACTGCTTCTCATTCCCATCCTTTCAGTTTGACAAATTAATCTTGAAATTGAGCAAAAGAACAGAACTTTCATTACAATTCAGCAACAAGACACAATGTTTTCAAGTATCACTGACAGATTACAACGCTTGAAAAAACTATTACTACTAAATGCAAAGGAAGAAGAAAAACCCCCACAACTTACTGAAAGAAGCTTCCATGCACTTGGACGAACCGGTTTGGGAATGCCAGACCAACTCAATTTCCGTAATTCTTCTATTAACAGAGAAGTATTTCATGAGAACTAAGGAAACTATTATCGATTAATATACACAGATATATTCAAATTAGCACTAAGTTGTTTACAACAATGATCATGTCTTATTATATTCCAATGAAATCAGAATTATATGGCAATTCTAACAAATTAATAAAGTACTGGTTAATTACTATCCATAGGAATACCTATGATAATAGGTACTGAGTGTGATAAAGTAACTTTCTGGACTATTTCTCAGCATTACTTTTTAGTATACATGCCTTATATTAACAGGCAAGACATGCTCAGTCTTATCGTATAATATGCTTACACAGATCCTAATTAAAAATGAGATCTGCAGTTACAGAAACAGAATGATACTTTATGTCTGAATGCTGGAATTTAATCCCATGCCATATTCTCATTCTTCACCTTGTACTGTTTTCTCTTGAAAGCTGCTTGTCAGATATCATACCCAGCTAAAACAATCTGTGGGACTTCACACACTTTTTGTGAAAACTGTTTATCATGTGAAAAAAAAATTATAACAAAAATATGAAAAAATGTAAAGACAAAAGATGCTTAACAGTGTTCCTAAAACAATTTTTATGAGATATCTACCTGTAGCTCTTTTTCATCTCACTCTGAGTAGAAAATATGGGTTAAAACTGCACAAGTTTAATATATCAAGCTGCTAAAGAATACAGAATCACAAAATTCTACGTTTTACTTTGTATATACTTATTCCAGTTAATTACATGTATATTTGAATTAACCATGTGTATTTCAGTGAACTTGGTCTCTATCATATGCACGTATTTTCCAAATTCTACCCTTCAACAAAGACTTTAAAAACATTCTGTCTCTCTACCCACCCCTAGAAAATGAAACACAGAAGGCAGTAATTAGAGTAAGAACTTTGTGAGTGAATACCACAACTGACTGACTTTGGCCATTTATAGATGTACATTCTCTTTATTTTTTGTTCAGACAAGGATTCCTATTGGCGACACCTGTCTTCATCCTTCCACCCCCACCCCTCTTCTGCTACTCTGAAAGAAATGTGCATCTATAATATCAAGAAATACAAATTATCATCTTATGTGTGGTATGTTATCATAGAGCAAATTATTTCTAGACACAACTATTTTTAACCAGGAATGAAAACATAGTCCATTGGAAGCAGTACAATATTTAAAAAATATTTAAGATATGCCAAGGAATCAGATTTAAAAAGTGTATCAATGCTGAAGAGTTAATGCAAAAACAGAAAAAAAGAAATTGTAATTAGCAATTAAAGTTTCTCAAAGAAGCACCAACTAAGCAAACAAAAAGCTCTAGTAACCTGGAGTTTGCAGTAGGAAGTTACCTGATCATTAAGAGGCCCTATTTTTATTTTAGATACTTGCTAGTAAAAATGATACTTGCAAAATCCATTTTGTCTTAAAATAAGATGACAGCATTAACATGAAGTTAACTAAATCATGACAAAAAAAAAAAAAAACAGCTGGATGAATTTGTACTTCCATGTCTTTTTCTTACAGAAAATACAGAGAGAGGAAAATTGGCAGGAAGCAGAAATTTGCATAATAGTCTTGCGACTACTATGGTCACAGGTATGGTCATAGATGAGCACTTTCAGGGTGGTCACTTCAAACCAGTCATGACTATTTTAAACAGGCATGGGCTTACCAACAATTGTTCAAGTAAGAAAAACTTTACAGTACTGGACACACGCAATCACCAAGTTAGGTGTCCCCTCTCACTTTGGGCAGCAGTCTTAGCCAACACTACAGCGGCTGCTCAGGGATCTCACTTAGAACAGTGAGGCCACATCACAAAAATCCAAGCAAAAACAGTTACCAGATGTTGCACTGGGATCAAAACAGAGCAGAAACTCAGAAAAGCAGAGAAAAAGAATAAATATTAAGAAACAAGATGTTAAAAGTCCATCATATCACAAGTCTTGAATCCAGGCTAAAGAAAAAGGATGATTTTCTTATAACATGAATGAAACTGTCTTTCATCCATAAGCTTTAAAATACTACTGTATTTGACAAAACCAAGCTTAATTAATAGAAGCTTTTCTTTTCTACATTTCAAACCCCTGAAAAAGTCAAAACACACTGACATGGGAAAAAATGAAAAAGATGTATCTCCTAATAAATTTTTTACCTAAAGACATGGTTTGTTCTATAGTTTTGTTTGTAAATGAACTAATCTTTCCTATAGCAGAAGAAATATAAGGACATCAAGGTGACACCTTGTTAAAGTAAGAGTACATAAATAAGTTAAGGTTATTTTCTGTCAGTACAAACTATATTTAGACATGTATTACTGTGTAAGGGTACCAAAAGAGCAAAACAACTAACCATTTAGGAAGATTATACTGAATATAACTCAGCATAACTTATTATAAGATAAATTCAGTCATATACCTTGAATAAAATACCAAATACTAAAGGAAAAAGTATAAGAACACACCAAATATGCACTGACTTGACTTCTAGCAAACACAAGAATCCTCAGTCTTGCATTTCCTTGTACTTGTAGCCTATCCATCACGCCTATGACAACAGTAAGATTAAATGTGCTACAGAGTTAATAACATAACTACACTCACTGTAACTGATTACATTTTATTTTCTTTCTTATTTACACTCCATCCCTATCCAACAGGCTGACCATTTACAGCAAGTATTCTTCACACAAAAATTGTAATGCCAGTTCTTCCCCTCCCTCATTATTAAATGGCAGAAACAGATTATTGCCTGCTCTTTAATCTGGAAATAAAAACATACACTATCAGGCAGAAACAAATTTAAGCTAATTTTACGGATCCCAACTCCAAAACAAAAAGTACAAGGGAGCTTTGGTCAGGGAAACCCAAAGTGGCAGACTGAGAGCCATTTTAGCTTCAGAGAAGATCTAGATACGGCAAGGCACCAAACTCTCTTTACTTCCCCTTCTTTAAGCACAGAGGTACCTCAGAAGGAGCACCTACTGAGGTACATGCAAAATAGTAACAATGATGAAGTTCACTCTTATACCAAGGTTTCCTGATAATAGCACGACTACAAAACCAAAATAAAACCTTCATCCCTTCTAACACTAATTTCCTAACCTCTACTTCCTATTTACAGATCACTCCTGAGTCCCATTCATCCATTTCACTCTTTTCTCCAGAATTACTTTTTCCTTATTTTCCTCCTTTCTGGCCCTCATCCCTATAGATTTCCCAACCACCAACCAAAATTCCACACCTGTCTTGACTGCTGGCCAACAGAATTCATTGTACAGTTAAGGAAACCTTGAATTATTAACTAAAAAGTGGTACTATCTTTAAAACAGAACTGTAGCTTAAAAAAAAAAAAAAAAAAAAAGAGCTACATAATAATTTTAAATATTTTCAAAGGAACCTGGTATTTGTTCTTTATCTCAGAATAATCCCAGAAACTGATGCTCTCTTGCTTTCTTAATTATATCAAACTGTAACAATAAAATTAACAACTTTTTGCACCACAGATGTTTTAAAATTAACATGTAAGAATGTACATTAGAAAGGAAAAAAAAATTACATGAAGTCCAAATGCTCATTACTGTTCTATGATCTACAGCCTGTAACAAGAACTGCCATCAGAAAAACAAAATCTATTCAGTTTCACAAAGATAAGCTATTGTAGAGGACCAGTGTATCATCAAACTACATTTAAATACACCAGAATCCTTAAGGACAAACTATACACTTTAATGCAATTATTCTTGCTGTCATGTTAATTTCCTACAGTTTGGGCTATTTTCTGTTGTTAACTTACAAACACCAGACTGCTGATAGGGCTTCTACAAATTAAGTCTAGACAGCAAATTTTGCAGGGTTTTTTTTTCCCCCATAGAATTTTCATTATTTTTAGCTAACTTTGAACCCAGTTGTCCTGCTATAACAACTTCTCACAAGAAAAATTTATCTTTAAGTTTTTTGTTGAAAGAATGCTTTTTCTCTTTTAAGTATCAAGTTAATTCTAACTCCAAGTTAATTCTAAACAAATTTTGTAATTTAGGCAATTTTGCTGTCACGAACTGTAATTACTCAGTTTACCCAATGACTTTTTAAAAACTTCAAATTTGTTTGCCTTTCTAAACATGATTGCTCTTTTATTAGATTCTTTTTAAAAGATTTATCCCACTCTAGAAAAGTATTTTATCTTATGAAGCAAGCAGACATCATATGTTACAGTAAGTCCAGTACAAGTTCTCAATGACTGTCAAAAGCAAGAACTATCACCCAGTCTAACAGTATTGGCAGTAAATGACCAGAGGCACCATAAATCAGATATTTTGATACCCATCTTGCTATGGAGTGGTGACTCCACAAAAGGCCTGGAAGGGGCACTAAGCCAGCGATAATGGGACTCTTGATCCACCCATGCAGGTGTCCCCTTGCCAACCAAGGAAGCCCTCCTCCCCTAAGTCCTCCTGGCAGCCAAAGTAGGTTTGACTTGTATGGTATGGTCTTAACAGGTTTATTTCATTGTCAGACTCCAGCTGTGATGATCAAGCACAAGCTCCCAACAGGTACCCCCCAACAGAACCCTGGTTGCATATCTTACCCTTTTTCTCATTACTTGATCTTCTTTTTCCACCACCCTTCTACCTCCTTTTCTCTGCCCCAAATTAACAAACCACTCCAATTACTTCTTCTTAGTTTTTCCAGTTTTCCTACATCTATACCCAACTTTGGTACTTCTAGAATGATTACGTAGGCACTGCTGGTCTTGTAACACTACACCTTCCAAAGTGGCCCCAGTGCTCGCCTCCATTCAATCGCACTGTTTATACATTTCTCACACAACTCCCCCTTTACGGCTTGTGACATCCAGGCATCCCATAGGGTGCTATCTATAACTTCTGTCAGATTCTCACACTGTTGGTTGTTACGTTCAGCAATTTCTCAGGTCGCCTCCAGTAGTTCTCCACACCCTACAGAGTCAGCTCAGTCTCCAAGCAGGGCAGTCAGCAG